GGCAGGAGGAAGAAGAAGAAAGAGCCGGCTGCAGTGGAAGATGAGGAGGATGTGGAGGAAGCAACAGTCTCCACAAAGCCCAAGAAGAACAAGGCAGCAGTGGTCGAGCCGGAGCAAGATGGAACCCGCAAGTCAAAGAGGAAAAGCAGGAAGCCAGTAGTGGAGGAGGACTGCGATGCAATGGAGGACTGGGACGAGGAAGACCTCATCGAGGACTACAGGCCAATTCGCCCAAAAGGAAAAAAGAAGTCCATGAATCCGGATGACATGGTTGAGGGCGAGGACGTGGGGGCCAAGCCAAGGAAGGGCAAGAAGGCGGTGGACCAGCACGAGGACATGCCAAATCACGATGACATGGCCACGGACGTTGCGGATTCCAAGGGCAAGAGGAGGAAGAAGAAAGAGCCGGCTGCAGTGGAAGATGAGGAGGACGTGGAGGAAGCAGCAGTCCCCACAAAGCCGAAGAAGAACAAGGCAGCAGTGGTCGAGCCGGAGCAAGATGGAACCCGCAAGTCAAAGGGGAAAAGCAGGAAGCCAGTATTGGAGGAGGAGTGCAATGCAATGGAGGACTGGGACGAGGAAGACCTCATCGAGGACTACAGGCCAATTCGCCCAAAAGGGAAAAAGAAGTACATGAATCCGGATGACATGGTTGAGGGCGAGGACGTGGGGGCCAAGCCAAGGAAGGGCAAGAAGGCGGTGGACCAGCAGCAGGATTCCATGGAGTATGCGGAAGGTGCGCTTCGTGGTGGAGGCGGGAAGACAAAGAAGGACCACAGCAGGGAAGAGTCGTCTGAGGAAAGTGGCGAGGAGGAGCTTCATGATGAAGCGCCAAGACGTGCAAAGTTGCAGAAGCTCACAAGGGCAGGGCCAATTCTGATTCCGAACTGCGAGGAGGATGCTAGCCAGGAAGAGGATGAGTCCATGGAGGCTGTCTTCAAGAAGCCAGCTGGCAGGGGTCGGGGCAGGGGCCGGGGCAGAGGAGCTCCGAAAGCAAAAGCGAAGGCCAAAGAAAAGGCTAAGTCCAAGTCTAAGGCTAAGAAGGACACCCAGGATGATGACATGGATAAGCCAAAGCGTGGTCGGCCCCCGGCAAAATGCAATGCTGAAGCCTCGACTTTTGCCAGGCGTGGGAGGCCTGCTACAGCTCCAGCGAGTGCCCGTTGGGATGCGATAGTTTCAGTGTTCAGAACCTTCATCAAGCCGGAGATTAAGAAGCGTGGGATCCCTGTGTACTGCTGGGAGGAGCGAGTTTTGCTACAGATATCGGGTTTGCTATGTACATCTATATAGGGTTTACATATGTATATATATATATGTAATATATTTAGGTTTCTAAGGTTTATATATATAGAGAGAGGGTGTGTTTGTACACGCATACATACTTTTACATATATATATATAGGGTTTAGAGGGTTTTCAGACGGTTCATTTTCAAGGCTTCTATACATATATATATATAATCACATATACATATATATATTCAGGGGCCTGTATATTCATGTAGAAGAGAGCTGTTTATATGTGTATAGATATATTTATATATATATATATGTGTAGATATATATATATATTCAGGGCCTTGTATAGAGAGATTTGTGTGGATATATATACGTATATATATATAGGGTTTGTACATATATATCTATATGCATATATACACACACATGAATGTTAATTTGTGTATATATATATAAAGGTCTATGTGTATATATATATAGGGCTTATACGGCTTTAAAATTTCTTATCTGTGTATGTACATATATATATATATGGGTACTGATGGATATATAATGTTTATGTTTGTGTATATATATATATGTATATACACCATATATACGATAATAGGGCTTTCATTTTTTGTGTCTATATATAGGGCTATGTAGATAGATAGATATATGTATATATATAGGGTTCTATATATATATATTATAGTGTATACTTATAAGTAAGGACTTTGTGTGTATATGTATATATGCGTGTATATATATATATAGGGCTCATATGCTGTTTATGGTGTTGAATCATTTTCTCGACCTATATATGTATATATAGAGGGTTTTTATATATTGTATATATATATGTATATATA